CAGGATACTAGCTCACCAAATGCTAATGTTAGGTGACCATCTTTGTTATTTTTGCAAGGCTTCACGGAATTTTACAACTGAAATTCACATGAATAAAACTCCTGATCAAACAACAGAGGATAACAGTCCTATGGGCATTGCACAATTCACTTTTCTATGCAGAAGACTGATAAAATCAGCTTTCATACTTTGTTTTATATTTATTTTTGTAGAACACTCAGTCAATTGCTTTTATTTTCTTGATACAGAGGACTTCAAGTGGTAGAAAAATAGAAACGGGAAAGGCCAAGTCTCCTCAAACAGCATGGGAATTCTGCCTCATGGAGAGCAAAGCAGCCCCATTCTGAATTTACCCGGCTCCCTGAGGTGCCTGTCCCTGGGAGCACTGTAAAACCACAGGCTATTTTCTATCATTAGCCTCCACCACCAGAAGCACTGCCCAGGGGAGGGAGGCAGGATGAATGCCAGCCAATTCTCAGCAAGGCTCTCATGCCTGTTTTGCTCCTCCAACCTCCTTCTCTGCCTTCCTTTACAGCCACCCTGCCTCTCTACCTCAGTGCTTTCGGGCAGTGCCTCTGCCTTGCCGTGTCTTTGGATACCGTAGTGACGGGAGCATCCCGAGGAGGAGACGAGCTGCGATCCTTCCTCTTTTTAGAGGGAGGGTCAAAGAGGAAGCCCCAGCTTTCCGGGCACACTTGCAGCCTCAACACAATGTACTGGACATGATGGCCGGAATAAGATTTTGCAATAAAATGGACACTCGGCAATGGGGACAGGATAAGATCTAACCCTCTGAAAACGTAGCAGATTAGTAGAGAGAAAGAAACAAGTGGGAGAGGGGTGAGAGAAACAGAAAAGAAGTTGAGGTATCCCAGCAGTTGGCTTTTTGTTACAACATTCTCCTTGTTACATCTCAAGCTGATCGGCAGAAATGCATGGGTGCTCCGGCCTCTCATAAAGAGATCTTTTAGCTGTGCTGCAGCTGAAAAAAGCACATTTGTAAATCTCAGACATTCCATAGAAATATGCCCTATAGATGTATCAGATGCTGATAGCCTCTGACCTATTCAGAGATGCAAATATTAATGGAAAATCCTGAAAACCCACTTTTATGCCTCCACTGGAGGAAGCATTTTCAAAGCACTTCTTCCAACATGGAAGAAATCTCATCTGACCTAGTTTCCTACCCTGTTTGTTACCTCCTGGCTGTCTCATCTGAGGTTCCACCTGCTGTTTCTCCATCTGCCAGCCTTTTTTAGATCAGAGGAACCTTCTGAGTTACACGTTAAATGTCAGGCAGGCTTGAGAAACGTTGTTTATGTCTGTATTTTAACAGATGATATTTTTCATTAAAAAATGCATGGAGCCATTAAAGGCTAAGATCTCATTTGCTTTTGGTTACCACAACTCAAGAGCAAGTCTGCTTATGTGAAAACTGATGCTATTAGTTCAGACCTGTGTATATCCAAGCAGAATGATGCTACCCTCTGAAGACCATTATTAGTGTCTTTTCCAGTAATATTGAAAGCCTCAAGCTGGGGGCCAAAAAGTATCAGATAATTTAGTCAAAGTCACTGGAAGCCTTGTGCAGACTGAAATCAAACCCCAAACCAGTATCAGGGAACTTCTTCTCCCCCTATTCCAGAGCAGAACACAAAGAATTAGTTTGCATTAAATACCAGTTACCTGAAGGAGTAATTACCTCCAAGGCTGCAATACCTACAGGCAACTATTCCATTCAGACCCAACATTTGAGGTATGCTGTACCATGCAGTATTTACAGTACAGTATTTTAGTAGATGCATGTGTATTACTTTTCCTTGACTGTAGGACATTGTCATTTACCTTAACTTGCCTCCAACCATCCTGAGGGAATGACAGGAAGTCTCAGTCAGAGGAGAAGGGCACTTCTTGCCTTATCCCTCAGACAAATACAACTTGAAAGTCACTACATGAAAGGCATGTAGCACAAGTATTAACACTATGATTTACTGTAATAAAAACATTATTACAAAGTGTCTAATTAGAACCATTATAAGACCAATTAAAGCTGTCAAAATAGAACAAAAAAAGCAATGTGTTTTTTCCCTGGAGGACTGGAATATGGTGAGATTCATTAGTAACTTGTAATTTGAGGACAGAAGGTTGCTTTAGGTTTGAGTTGAAATCTAGGCTCTTAAGGAAAAGAGGGCTCTGAGGTGTGGTCCTCCCTGGCAGGCATTGCTTAAGCAAATGTTATCAGAACAGTAGAAGCATTTTTTAATATCCAGGCTAGACACTTAAAAAAGATCTGGCTACAGCAGTATTTGTTTAGTTCAGCTTTAGCATCCAACACAATTCTGACATTTGCAATCCGCATGTCAGTATTCATCTCACTGCAGGAAATGAGACAAAATGGCATTTAGTTTACCTGGCAAGGACGGTCAGGCAGCCCTTACAGAATCTAATTAAAATGCAGCTTGTTACCAGAGCAGTGCATCACACTGTGCTGCCATAGCAACCAGGGGTCCCATGGACTTTCGGGGCCATCTGAGGGCATGTTTGCAAAGAGGCACAAGAACTAAACTGATCTCCTATGGTCTGTTTTAAATGACCTGAAAACTCTGAATGATTTGCTGATGTTAACCTACGAAACAAAATAATTAACTCCTACATGCCCAGACAATGGGCCACTCTCAGGAGTCAACTTATTCTTATTACTGGTTTTTATGACACAGTGCTCCCCACAGCTTATTTAAGAAGTGCACGACTTATTTGCAACATATGAGCAACCAAACAGTTTAATTTGATTCTCTGATAGAGAAACAATAGAGCAATCAAAACCTGTGGGCTGTGGAAGAGAAGATGAACAACAGAAATACGTATTCTACTTAGGCTGCTACTTCCCGTGCTATTTCATGAAGTAGCAGGCATCTGACTGCTCTCAGTTCTTGCTTTTGGTGGATGAGTCCCTGCTAGCACACTGGGGGGAAAAAAAAAAAAAAATCATCACATTACAGCACTGGGTTTTTCTTCCCGAATCCTTCCACTAGAACAGAAAGATCATTAAACAACATTAATAATTATAAAAGCAGTATCTTACATTGTGCCTTATCCTGGTATTAATTTTCCACGGACGCAATCAATAGATTTGCCACTGAGGCATTAAGATGAATTTTAACAGTAGAGATGTCCAGGTCAAGGGATTCTGTTGACACACCACCTGTGAAGGACACTGCAAATTGTTAGTGGGTTGTTGCAAGTTATCATGAAAGATTTCTGCAAAAGACCACAGCGCTTTAAAGCTTAACAGGCTCTGTTAAGCAATTTAACTATTGATGAAAATATCCCCAAGTTGTTTGAAATGATCAAGGGGATTTTTAATTGCTTTGAAAAAAGAAAAAGCTTGATAGCAATTCTTATGAAATAAATGAAATTCCTTAGAAATATGGGGTTGGGACTGGGGGATGACATGGGAAATTGAAGCACTGGTTTTCTAAGCATCGTGAAAACAGTATGTCCATGTGATTTTGGGTCACAGTGCTACACCATCCGCTCCCACTGTATACAGCTGGGATGGGTAAGTAGCTGGAAAGATCTGTTCCGCGTTGGGTGTGCCAATATCAGGAAGGTTGCAGAAGGCCGAAAGGAGCTCAGTTCAAGAACAAGTTGGAGGGTTCAGCCCCTGGGGTTTGGGGTCTTTTTTTGTACATACCAGTGACACACAGTATGTGGTTGTGCCTAAGTTTCCCCATTTACAAAAAAACCCCACAATGTTATTTACCTGTTTTAAGGTCCATGCCCCAGAACGTTGGAAAGACTTGCTGTAAGGGAAGTTCAAAATCCTACTCAGGATTAGAGAACCTTAAACAAAAAACCACTGTATCATTCAGGTTAGAGGCAACAATTGATCCAAAATAACATAATAAAACATGGGAAAAGTAAAAACATCTCACATTTAAATCTTTTTGCTACATGGAAAAGTATCCAGGCAACATAATAACTAAAATTACCGTGTCTAAAAACAGACAGTAGACTGTACTTTTGCTAAATGGCTCTTTATACAAGACAAATTGATTGCAACTAATCCATCACTCTTCTGTATAGCCCAGTGCTTTAATAACCTTGTAGCAGTAATTCTTCAAAGGGCATCACGATTCCCTGATAATCCGCCGCAGCCCATTATTAATGGCTTCACTCATTCTCAGGTTCTCCGTACAACAGAAAGTTTATTAGCACTGCAAATGAATCTATTTTGTCCACAGTTTACTCCAGCTGAGGTACCAGCCCTGATACTCTCATTCTTCACCCTGTTTTTTGTGTAGACTGGACTTCCGTTTGCTTGTTTTGTTCCTCCAGTTCCTTCAGAGGAAGCAACACAGCCCAAATGCTTTACCAGGGGCTTTTGGAGAGGAAAGAGGGTGTTATAAATCATCACTAATTTAGAAGTTCATTTTTAATGGGTTACGTTTTATTTGCTTCAGTTGAACACCGTTATTTACAGACACAAGTTAATAAAACACATCACAAAACAATAAAATTTCAACAGCTGATATTTATAGGTGCATAGTTCATGCTCAGTTACTTTTCTTTTAGATGTATAATACATACACATATATATATATATATAAAGCTCTCACAATAAGTCATCTCTGCACAGAAAGAATAGTCATAGGAAACAAATAAAAATTGTATCATAAACAATATCAAATTACTGACAGCCTATCAACAAAACATGTACAGAGTTAGAAATAAGCAGTAGACACTTAGGTGTTTTTATTTATTTTCTTTTTTAACTTTGAAACTTGAAGCCACAATATCCACAGCAAAACCATGACCCTGGCAACCAGCTTTCATTTCAAAAAAAAAGGAAACGCTGAAACAAGGTGGGTGCAGTCACAGATACTCCAATCATTGCTGATGGAAGACTTCAAAATACACCGTAAAAACTGTAAAAAAATTTTACGACTGGGCACATTGGAACTCAGCACTTGTACAGGATGGGACGTCTTTAGTAGTTAGTAGATTTCAGGAGATACAAAGGAAGGGAAGGACTCTCATGCTTCAGGTTCATAGTCTTGATACTCTTCCTAATGAGGAGAGCAGAAATCAGTGCTACTAGTATTTCAGATAACAACATCCTACTTTCACTGCTTGTTCTAGTCCTAATGGATTCAATGCCAAAATATTACGGATTTCCATGTGATCAGAATCATGCCATTTATTATTATTTTGTCACACCTTCCAGATACCGTACCTTACAAGCCTTACTGTGGTATTTACAGAAGAATTAGGCTCTTACAGTGGTTAACATGTTATTCGGCTCATGTTGCCAGGAACTGACGAGGCCGCCCATGGCAACTCACTTGGAGAGGGAGGAGGACTACCTCCGGGCCAAGCAGTGCACCAGGTGCTGCAGATACTCATACGACTCAGTAACTCATTTAAACGTGTGTTTGACTACGGGTATGTGAGCAGCCCCCATAATTTCAGTGATATTCAAGGTGTTAACGATCAAGCATGCCTTTAAGTCTTTTACTGGATGGTGGCCTAAATGTTTTATACCTCTCATTTTCAGCCTAAATATCTGTGCTACTGTAAAACTGCCACTCCAACTACCAACGCATCATGCCAGAAATCGTAGTAATATTTTAGACAGCAGGTTCATGAGAAACAACAAAATAATTTACTTCCATAATTGCATTAACTCAAGAGCATAATAATGAATTGTCGTGTTTTACAAAGCATGATGCTTTGATAAACGGCCAAGCTATTAAAACAATCTGAGAAGATGCAGTTTTTCCCACATATCAAGCATGAGAAAAAGATGCAAGCTTACGGTGGATTACTTAGAAATCCAGGCACAAGTGTTTCAAAACACACACAGTATTTTCCTGTAAAATGTCCTTACTATCAAGAAGGCAATGAATTTTCTGATTCCCAGCACTACACCTCTTGGAGATGCTGGCCAAAGAGACTGTGTTTGGGCTGTACCCTTGGAGCTCACAGCATCAGCCTGTGCCAGGCTAATCTAACTCGAGCACGCAGCCCCCTCCTGTGCCCTTCTCCTACGTGCGTTCCCCAGCAAATACCACAACAGATTTACCTCTGGAGGCATTTCGTAAGCCTCATTCTCAGGATCCACAGGAACATCTGTATTATTCACCATTCCCTCCTGCAGGAAACCTTCTTCATTCTACATTTAAAATATTCCTCCCCACCAGTGGTTGACTTCTTGGCCTGTCCTTTGGTCGCGGGAGGTTGCCAGGGGTTGTGAAGAGCTAGAGGACATTAGATCCAGAGAGATCTTCTCCGTGTTCCACAAGGGTGTCCACGGGAATGACCACTATCACCTTTCTGAATAGCTGAGGTGCTGATATCCCATTTCTCTCTTGCCGTGAACAGGCCAAGAAGTCAATCTGAACAAAAGAACAGTACCATGACCAACAACTTGCTGAATATCTCTGGAAAATATTTTAATCCCATAGAAAATGCTTTGGTCAAGTCACAAAGAAAACCAAAACAAGATTTTTGCTCCTTAAGAAACTGATCTGGGAAACACAGTCCCACAGAAATTGTTTAAGTAACTTATCACATTAATTTCTGTTTAACTACTTGGGGGAATACAGTCACAGGTACACAAAAGTAGTTGTAAAAGCAGGCCAAAAGAATTGGGTAGTATCAAGACACACAAATGAAACTAATTAAATTATGCATTTTTTACTGTTAGTAATTCACACATGTATTTTTTAATGCTAGTAATTCAATTATATATTTTTTAATGTTACAGACATATCAAGCCTCTCATAAACCATTGTTTATTTTACAGTTTGAGCCTTTTCATGGTACAGACTATTCAGACTATTGCATGCTGGTTTTTTCCTTCGGTTTTGGAACCTAACTGTATTGGGAAAAGCTTTTTTCCTTTAATGGGTCACACCTCTAGATGCTTTATGATGTCAACTCTGTGTTACTCTCTGCAGTATTAGTTTATGATACATGGCACTACCTGATACCCAGCTTCTTATACTTTTTTCTGGGCATCTGCTATTGATCATTATAGAAGTGCTTCTATTTTATACAGCAATTTTCGTAAGAGCTTCTTGGAATTAATGGGATTGCAAAGGTGTAAAGAATGACTTGCTGAGTAGGATTACTTAAGTGTTGTCCTAGCACTATGGATACTATTTACCATCTGAAACAAACAGAAGTTAGAAATGAAAAAACCCCATTCCAATTGGGCCAATTCCTGTCGTAGTTGTGACTATGGAAGTTCACAGAGAAGAAACACGAGTTTTGCCAGAACAAAGACCACTGGAGTTCATCCTGAACTGCAAGAAAATTGAGATGAAACCAGGCAGCCCAGCTCAGTGGAACTATTGTAACTATGCTTATTTATACCAGTTGCCAATCCAGACGGAAATGCACTAACACACAATTACAGACACTCAGGAAGAAATTCACTTAAAAAAACCCCTGCAGGCTGGTAGCATAGACAGAAACACAAAATTAAGTCAAAAAACAGACTAATGAGGTAATTCTTCAAAGTCTGAAGTTTATAGGACAGTGATGCTAAATTAAATTTAGTATATAGATAAAATGAGCAGCAGTAGCTAAACCTGAAACTCACCTCTGTGAGTTTAACACAAAATAGAAAATAATACACAAACCAGGTGCATTTATCATGCTTTTGCTGTTTACTGTTTGCCACCTATCAGCCTCATCTGTGGTCATAATACTCCGTTCCTCACTTGCTGCATCTCTCCATGCACAAATTGCAACTTTATCTGCCATATACGACTCCTGTTCTTCCTTGGTTTGGTCATCTCTTCCGGCACTGATGCATGTGTTTTCATGGTTTTCACCCTCATCATCAAAGTCCTCGACATACAGAATTTATTTCCATAATGTGGATTCTTCTCGCTAGCTCTTACTTCAGATTTTAAAAGGTCCAGTGGGGCCAGATCCCCTTTTTACTTTAGAGGCACACAGTATAGTTTGTGTGGAGTCAATCAATGCCTACTGTTCTGCCAAGTTCCCTCCTTGCGTGTGCCTGCTATCAGTTAACACTCTGTGCTGCTCTAGGGCGTAGATAACATGGACAAGTTCCAAAAGTCAAGGGACATTGATGAATAAGGCTGCTAGTATCTTCATTTAGGCCTGTGTCTTCCAGAAGAACTAATCATTTTGGATGTTCAATATGACAGGTAACTTCTCAAGCATGAAAATATCTGCAAAACTGGGCCCAATTACAGTTCTGCCCTGGCTTATCAAAACACTCGAGCTCCTAAGATTATTTGATGTGCGATATTTAATTACCTTGGCTTCTAAATAATTTTTTAGGGATATTTATGCCTACTTACTTTTATGAGAAGTAGCTCAATCCCTATCAGTTTTGACTGAAATAGCTAAATAGTGTGTGCTATGCAAATTTTAAAGCACTTGATCTAACGTAACAGCTCTAAGGACCTACAGCTCCAGTCTTACTGCTCTCCTGTTTAATCCAAAATATAATTTAATTTCTGCTTCCCCCTATCATTAAGGAACAGCTTTGACTAACAATCAGTACATCAGGTAAAATTGTGCCCAAAATCAGTCTTGAGGTTGCACGAAGAAGAAAGCATGCAGCTTAACGCTATCTGCAGCAGGAAAACAGATGGCAAGTGAAACTGCCAGGACCATTAGTAATGACGAAGAACAACATTTCACAGAAGAGCTTCAAAGCTCGTACGCTGTTGTTAGGAACCTCTGCCACAGGTCTGGACTGCCCATCAGAATTACAGATACAATGCCTAAAAAAGGCTGAGTTTATCATCTTCCTAAGTTCCTTCAGTGAGTTCAGGATAGAGATTCCTCTACAGCTTCAAATAAAACAATCAGCAGCACTAGGAACATACAACATCAGTCACAACACCAACATTTTTTTCAAATGAAGCAAATCATAAGCCATACCAAACCATGAAGGGAGCTCTTTGCTGGGAAGGGCTTAACACCTTTGTCCAGCTGCAAACAGTAACACAAACACCAGCTTTCACGTTGAGGGCACCCAAGTGCAGACGAGAATGACATTATTCAAGGTCACAATTGTTACATTTAAATGCATAGCATAGGTGACAACATCATTTTTAATGGTGACTTTCTGCTTCTGATGTACTGTTCCTCTGAAGTTAGGATATCACAAAACTAAACAACCACCCCCAGTTACACAGAGCCATCTAAGGTACACCTCATGTCATTATTTACCTCCTTTAAAACAAAGAAATGCAATTTTATGTTCTCATGATTAATAATTCCATTTCCTAATTCAGTTATGGAAGAGGAAAAACACCCAACAGACCAATTCTTGCCTTAGTATGAAAGACACATTTTTCTCTAGAAGCTGCCACCTCTATTTTTAAACCATGTAGAAGGGCATTTCCAGAGGGAAAGGTTTTTATTAGAAGATCTGAAAAGCCAAACAAAAGCTTCTTAGAGATGAAGTCAGTTTTTAACTGGGGACCGTGAGCTCTTTTGCAGGAAAACACTTTAAAAAGGGAAAACTACAACTCACGCAATAAACAAGGTGTTAAAAGAATGGTGAGGTGAGGACACCTGCTTGTCCCCCGAGGTTTCCCTTACGAAAAAGCAAATGCTTGCCTGTATCTTGGTTTGAAGCACAGACACTCTGGCTAAGACTCGTATTTCTGCATTCTCCAGTCTTGTGCAGGCCCCACGCTATGGAAAGCAAGCTTTTGCGGCTAGCTAGAAAAGAGCACACCACATTGCTGTTCCCGGTCACCAACTGTGGTGTCAGTTTGTGCTATCACCACTCCTGCCTGTCTTGACAAAATGTCGTGACTATCAGACTTGTTCAGCCCAAGATCAATGTGCCACCAGGCTACCTCGCAAGCCCAGACACCAGTTCCAACTCAAGGAACAGGTATAAAATAACTGGTATACAAGGGTGGCAAAAAGAAGATGTGAAGCAGAACTTCCTATTTTATTTGCTGCAATGGCTCCAAGATGTTGACACCTCCTCCTTTACTATGGGAATGAATCCTTCTAAGCAGTGTGCCTGAGAGTGTGAAATGGCCCACTTTTGCAATAAGATATTCATCAAACTAATTAAAAAGTCCTCCTCAAGACCTGGCCCTCTTTAAATTATAGAGTATTTGCCAAAACTTCAGGTCTATTCCTTTTACCAGGAACATGTCACCAAATGGGTTTCTCTTATTTCACTGTTTTGGTGAAAATTGCACCCTGTTCTTTCCCTTCACCCTCTTTCCCACCTCAAAACACTCTTAGTGGAAGGGGAGAGACTGTTAAAGATCCTCTGTTCATGGAAAACAGTCCAAGTGGTCTGCTCATGGTACCACACTTATGTCAGCACCACGTGGCTAAAATGCTCACCTTCAGGAGTGTGCATTCGGTCCTCTCAGTGACGTGTCTTTGAATGCCAAATTACTGCCATCAGAAAGAAATTATTTTTAGCTCAAGTCACAGACAAAAGCAACTTCAAAAGGAAGCATTGTAATTGTAATTTAGGAGCTATCTAAGCATTATAATTTACTATCTCTCTGGCTAGTAACACGTTTTTGCTTTTCATTATGAATGCTGAAGGAGTCTTACAGTCATGTATATTCTCATGATTACTGGAGACTAATTCCTTCTGGAGTGATTCCATATTCTGTAATAAATAAACCAGGCTATCAAAGTGTCAGCTATTAAAACATTTATACTAGCAAGAAGAGATTGTCCTGGAAGTCACTTCCACTAATCACAGAGGTCAGAAGGCACCTCCAGAGATCACCTAGTCCAACCTCCCAGCTCAGAGCAGGGTCACCTAGAGCAGGGCTACGCCTGGTTGGGTTTTGACCATCCCCACAGACAGGAGTGTCCACAGTCTCGCTGGATAACCTGGTCCACTGTTTGACCACTTGCACAATGAAAAAGATTTTTCCTTACATTTAAATGGAGTTTCCTCCATTTCAAATAGTGCCCACGGCCTCCTGCCATTTCACTGGGCATCACTGAAGAGTCTGATTCAGTCTCCTCTACCACCCCCGTCAGGTATTTATACATATTGGTAAGCTCCCCCCATAAACTTTCACATTCATGTTGTGTCACACTTGCTGATTTTCTGTCTGTTCTCGAGACCTCTATAAAATTTCCCCTGCAGACCTTGTGAGGGGCTTATGTCTCTAGTGGAAACACAAT